CACCTATATTAGCCAATATAGCAGGTACGTCGACGATGTTTACGCCCAAACCAGAGATTATTAAAACTTTTCGAGAAAAAATATTTTTCGAAAATGTACCGAATTTAAAAGAAAGTACATTTTTTAACGAGTTTAAGTATTTAGTAAATTTTTTTGGCATGTTTCTTTAGCGGCATTTACGCAAATTTTCCAAAAAATTAACATAAAACGCGAAGACACGCCTCAATGAACTTCAGTAAATCAACAAAATATCAAAACTTTGACGGCGCGTAACTCTGAAGTTAAAATTTGCCCCATTCAAATTATTTTGGATTTTGAYAGTGATGATAATGGACAATCGAAATATAGTGGATGATCGTAAATAAACAACCGCACAAACGAGAAACACGCATTCAAAGTTGCTCAAAAATCAGTGTTTGTTAACTCACGATAAACCATGGTCTAATGAAAAATCTGTAAAATATTCCCAATTTAAAATAACTGAGTTTTAAAACGTTCCAAGTAATTTGGAATAGATGTGTAATAGGCTTGTAAAGTTTCATTGAAAAATATTAAAGTTAAATAATATTTTCGAGAGCTCAGGTTAGCGCTATTTCCATAAGGTATTTTGACCATTTTACGGCCAAAACCGAGGGGGGTGGTGGATCTCGGAAACTAGAAGGAATAGAATCGTTTAAATACCACAGTTCTTATTTATTTCCGATGTAGATTGTATGCTGATAATATAAGGTAAATCGGCCGACCCCCATCTTTTGGACYTGCCCGGTTTTCTCAGACAACGTCTCGAAATAAAAGTCCCGAAATCTCAGGGTACATGTTTTGTACACACTGCAATGAGTATGTGTATGAAACAACGTTTAGAYGCCATATGAATCTTCAAACATTACGAAATGCGAACAGAAGTAGTCACACAGAAGTGGAGGAAGAAAGTTCATCGTCAGATGAAGATGTGGAAAACCGCTCTGATCATGAAGGTACTTTACTTTTGGGAAAAATATACCGAATTATTATATTACAACGGGTTTGATATATTGTAGAACATAGA